AAGATACATATGACAAAAATGTTTCTTATATATATATATATATATATATATATATATATATATATAAATCTAAATAAATGGGGATCTAAATCAACATTAAAGGAATACTACCATGATATATAATTTACAATATAATAATAATAATAATTTTCACATTGTTTCACATTGCAGTAATATATTTATTATTATTATTATTATTATTATGTTTTTGCATAATGGTAATGAGAATTTTGGGAAATGTGAAAAAAAATCTTAATGGTCGTAAATGGGTTCCAAAAATTCTTTTGATTTGGGGGTGAAATATGACCCAGACATATTCTTGACATTTCTTTAAATTCACCCATGCATTTATCTAAAAATCAGGTGCACTCTATCTATACATCTACACATACCTACACTAGACAAAAGCAAGTCTACAGTATATGGAACAGGAAAGGCAACTTGATAAACTCCTGCTGTGAGTCATAGCTGACGTTAAACAGCTAGCTGCATTATTCAAGCTTATATATTCTGTTTATATATAATGTATATATATTTATATATGGCATTTACAAAAAGCTGAATGCCGCCGCATTACTCCCACAATCCCTAGGCCACAGAAAGAGAACGCAAAAGAGGAAAATAGACACTTCCTATTTCAAAACAGTAAACCAGATCCTTCATGAGAGAAAGAAGCTGTATTTCAGCAAGCACTCCCTCTTTATCTCTTTTAATAAAACAGGAGATATCCATCCTTTGAAAAGAAAGGATTAGAAAAGATTCAGATAAACTATCGGAGAGAAAGAAAGCATGAGGTATAAAGGACAAAGATAAAAGAGAGAGAAAAGAGGATTAGAAAAAAGAGGAATCATAAGAAGGAATGAAGATAGATGTGGACAGTGAATTCTAACTTGCTGTCTTGCCTCGACCAGATAAGGTCCTCTCACACTCTCACTGCTCAGTTGCTCCACGCTAAAGTTCATGCACCTTAAAACAAAACGCTTTAGGTCAACTGAGGAAACTGGAACACTTATTTTATTGCTCAGTTTCATAACTGCAATCATGTTTATGTAAATACAGACTGTGATTTTTAGATATTAAAGCAAATCCGTGACATTTTTCATTAGTCAATTTTAATCATATATCATATACATTGTAAAAAAAAAAATATATATATATATATATATATATATATTATCTATAAATAAAACAAAGATTATGAGAATACATTTTACAAGAAAATACCATTTCAGTCTTTCTACTTCAAAATGTTTAATATGTTATTTGCTGTTTCTTTGTAATTAATAGTTAACAATAGTAGCAGCAAAAAAGTGTTGATCTGAGAAATTATTTTGTATTCAAATATAACATTTGAGGTTAGGAAAAAGCCAAACAAGAATATAAAATAAGAAGAATGAAGGAAGAAAAGAATGCATGAGTGGGAGAGAGAGGCATATCTAATAGTATTAAAAACCTCAAATACAGCAGGGAATCCCCAGCCTCTTTCAACTGCAGTATGTCAGAGAAGATTATTCCCAAACCAGGAAGACAGAAAGAGGGAAATGGGAGGAGAGAAAGAGGCTACTTATTATTAGCTTTCTGCCTCTTATATACATTGTGGCACATGAAAAATCAGTTTACACAAAAACGCCACAGGAAAAAGAGAGATTCAAAGAGAGATCCAGAGTGAAAGGTGAAGACAGATTCAGAGTAACAAGTGGAGCAAGATTCAGTATGAGAAGTGAAACTTACATTAAGCTTGAGCCATTCCTGTAACTCAAACAGTAAAGCATGGTACTAGCAACGCCAAGGTCAAGGGTTTGACTCAGAGAGGATGCATAAACTGATAAAATGTATATCTTGAAAGTAGCGTAGGATAAAAGCATCTGTTAGTTCACCCAAAAATGAACATTCGCTGAAAATTTACTCAGGCCATCCAAGATGTAGATGAGTTTGCCTCTTCAGGGGAACAGATTTGGAAAAATTTAGCATTACATCACTTGCTCACCAAAGGATTCTCTGCAGTGAATGGGTGCCGTCAGAATGACATCACACTAATCCACACTACTCCGGTCCATTGAATAACATCTTGTGAGGTAAAAAACTGCATGTTTGTAAGACACAAATACATCAAGATGTCCATAATCCATAATATTGCTTTCTTGCAATATTTATTGCTTTTATATTATTATAGATTATAGACAAGTATTTTGGCCTGAGGCAATGGTTTAAATTTAAAAAATCTTAAAGTGCCCCATTATGCCATTTCGAATATTGCCTTTCATGCAGTGTGTAATGTAGCTGTATGAGTATAAACGACCTGCAAAGTTGTAAAGCCGAAAGTGCACAATAAATAAAGTTACTGTCTTCCAAAATGAAGAATCGACTCTGTACAGCCTAAACGAGTCATTAGTAATTCGAATCCCACTTCCATGACGGCTACACGTCACGAGGTAACACATTTGCATAATTCCCACTTATGTTCTACGTTGGCCGGCCGCAAACATCTTGACCCCGCCAACAAACACGTCATTTACTGACGACTGCTTCTCTAATCTTGGGGATTTCAACACGGGATTCACAAAACGCTTGCTCTTGAGAGATGGCTCAGTACTCAGTTTATTTGGACCAGCTGGCTTCACTGAATCACAACCTGTAAGCATGATAAATAGATGTTTATATTTTCTATCGAGTGTTCAAAATACGGAACTATGGCAATGGGTGTATCGTTTCCGACACGCGCTCTATGCGGTAGACCAATCACAACAGACTGGGCCATCTGACAAATCAGAGCAGAATAGGCTCACGGAAAGGAGGGGTTTAGAGAGACTGAATATTAGAACTGCTCCGACCAAATAATTTGAGAATCGTTGGAAAATGAGGTGACATTAAATGAGTATTTTGAGAAAACTAAAGCATTTTTTTGACCTTGCATGCATGTAATCCTATTGTAGGAGACTCCCGAAACATTATTAGGAACCTTAAAAATGGCATAATAGGGGCACTTTAATGATGGATCTGTTTCTTACAACCCAGCTTTTCACTTCACAAGCTATTAACCCTTTCATTAAACCTTTATAAATGATCTTGATCATGATCAATAACATGAGATGGGCGCCACCATGTTTGTTCGCGCTGCAGTTCAGAGAGTCCTGTCAGTCGGATTTACAGCACGTAAATGTATCAGTTTCTCCTAAAATACATGTGGGTTACTTGTGGTGGTTTTTATCAGCTGTTTGGACTCTCATTCTGACGGCACCCATTCACTGCAGAGGATCCATTGGTGAGCAGGTGATAATACTAGTAATGCTAAATTTCTCCAAATCTGTTTTGATGAGGAAACAAACTCATCTGCATCTTGGATGGCCTGAGGGTGAGTATATTTTCAGCAAATTTTCATTTTTGGGGTAAACTATTCTTTCAAAGTGAGATTCAGAGTGAGATGTGCAGTAAAATTCACATTGAGACTTGAACAACAAACACTAAACGGAACAGCAACACATTACACTGAAGATCACTGTACAGACACACACAGTTTAATAACACACTCTGTTCAACATGTTCTTAAGCTCTATAATTACTATTATCATATTTCTAAATGATCACAAGCCCCTTATCAGCTCATTAACCCATCAGAAGTTATTCCAGAGACTCTCTGAGGAGACAAATTAACTACTGTAGAAATGTTTAGGATCACAGGGATTCCTCCATCATCCTCAGTCTGTTCTTTTTTCTGTAATAATATTCAAATCTCTCCTTATCATCAAGAGTTCAGTAGCAAATCAGCATAAATTATATCCTCTACAGAGAGAAGACAATTATTTTCAGTGCTTTTCTGAAAATGTTAAAATTATAGCAGTCTATAAGCTGGGATCTCAGGTACAACTGTATCAGATATTGTCTGTCAATATGACTAAGTCTTTGTGTCTCTATCTCGGGCTTTTCATTTAAAGAAATTAATATTTTTATTCAGTAAGGATGCATTAAATTAAACAAAAATGATGGTAAAACATTTATAATTTTACAAAAGATTTCTATTTGAAATAAATGTTGTTTTTTTATTTTCTATTCATTAAAGAATCCTGAAAAAAAGTATCATATTTCCACAAAAATATTAAGCAGCATAACTGTTTTCAACATTGATAATAATAAGAAATGTTTCTTGAGCAGAAATCAGCATATCAGAATAATTTCTGAAGGATCATGTGACACTGAAGACTGGAGTAATGATGCTGAAAATTCAGTTTCCCCTTCTAGGGAACTCGCTCTGCTTCCTCTAGCAGACACTAT